CAAGGCCGTGTTTAGAAAACTGAAGGACACATTCACGCACTAATCTGTATAGCATAGGGTTTTACTAAGAATACTCTTATCAAAACGTGTAAATAAAGATAGCAAAATGAATTCTTTTCAAGGCCATCCATTCATTTTTCTCATATCAACTGACTCAAAAGTGCCATTCACGGCCCAGGGTAGACATTTGGTTCATTTGTCTACATGTTATATATAAATATACAATCAAATAAGAGAATTTAGAATAGTTAATAAAAACCAAACTTGCGATTTAAAAATATGCATTCTGCTCGTCAGAGGAAATGTTCTGCCAATATCTTCAAAGACTGTCTCCATCAACGCTCAATATGGAGCCATTGTACTGAAAATGATTATTGATCAACGCTCTTACTGCGTGTTCGCATGTCCCTGCACAGTTTGAGCATGTGAGAGTGTATGTTTCTGTAAGATCTGAGGACTGTCTTACCTTCTGCTCCGTGTCTGAGAGGAAGAGTCACGTAAGCTTTGAGATCTACTACCAAGACCCCTGCTACTTCGCTAAAACAAAGTAAAGAGGGATTCCAAGCTTCTGGATTAAGTCCAAAAGAAAAGAGTCTTAAATTAGACCAAAAAAAAAAAGGAAATTTAGGAAACTAAAAAAGGCTGACGGAGAAAACATTGTCACAGGTGTTTATGGGTGTCTACATTGAGTCAGTATGCATGGTGACAATAGGTATTCAAACAATTCATTACACCTCCTCTGTAGAAAAGTGATTCCTTTTTCCGACTTTCCCTAACCAAATGTAACCATTAGGCATAGAGACATGCAAATGTTCAAAATCCGTCAATACTACACATAAGAAAAACAGAAAGAAGTCCAGGTTTGAGGGTAAAACTGTTCTTTTCTAACACTGAGATCTAAAGGGGCGTCATGGGACACTTCGAGTGGTCTTGGTTATCGATCTCAGCTTTCTGCATCCTTACATTTCAGCCAAATTACCTCCAGGCACAGATCAAGGCTCTCTGTTCAGAAGTACAGGTCCATGACCAGAGTTTCTCTTTGCATTTCATGTAAAACTGACTTTCCGAGGAAACCCGGTGCACCCTGGGACATCAGATACAGCTCAGTGTCTGAGTAGTATCTTCCCTTTTAAAACCACAATCTGGATCTACATGCAGTAGAGTTCATCATTTACTGTTCTTAAAAAGGTCTACAAAATGAAAGGCGCTTAATTGTCAGTATCACCTAATCTTGCTTTATAGTAAGGTGTGTTTTCTCTGCACCTTGTTCAGGGATAGACCTTCTTACACTTTCAATTAGATGAATATAACTTACTGCTAGGGCTGCACGATCTTGGAAAAAACTGACATTGCGATATTTTCTTCCTCTGCGATATATATATTGCGATATGAAAAAATACAGGAATTGAAGAAAAGACCGTTTTTTTTGTCTGCAAACCATCCTTTCTTGAACTTTAATGCTATACAATTGGTATTTTTTTAACAATATTTAACCGGATGAAGGATTTTAGTCACGGATTTTAGCTCTGTTATCCTGCCGTGATCTGATCAAGAATGATTGTGATTGGTGGTTTGCTGTGCATGCAGAGCCTGCATGTCACTCACTCAAGTACCCCTGACATGAGAGCCGCGCGAGTTTTCCTTTTGTAGCAAGCAGCAAAATAATTCTAACATGACGTGTTTGAGTTCATTTGCCTACTTAAAATCGCACGTCCTGCGATGTCAATATCGCGCATGCGCATAACACGATTATCGTCACGACACGATATATCGTGCAGCCCTACTTACTGCACTACAGTCATGTTTTTACTGATACATATTAGTCACTTCTTGTGTGAAACATCTTAAGACACAAAGTTATGCAACACTCTTTACCAATCACTGACACAGAAGAAACCAAACACAGTTGCCTATACACTCCTTGAGAAAAAGGGAAAATGAGTCACAGTCGTGACGAAATCAACAACAAACGAGGGTAATTTAAGTTTGAAATTAGATTTGGCTACCGACAGAGTCCAGTCAAATACCATATGTTGCTAACATGCCGTAAACATCCATCAAGGGGTATTTTATGAATCCCCCTCTCTGCTAACAACGTTGCTTTCCTCGTCATCGATTCCGTCTCGTGCATTTCTGTCATCCATACAATCCCAGCTTAATGACATTATGCCCCGGCATCCAAAGCCATTCATACACGATCAATAAAGCAGCACGAGTCTTTCCATCAGCGCTTTTTAACATTGCAAAAATGTCATCTGCGTTTGTAAAGCCTGTACCTCTGTTCCACTAATCATAATAGTTAAGTCACGCTGCTGTTTTTCATATCTGCGTCTCCCCCCCAACATGTGTATACCTTGCAATAGGTTAGCTACCTGAGAGGCGGAACAGAATCTAAAGACACAACAGGACGTCTCAGTGTGTGCGTGTAGTGAAAACACATTTCCTCTGCATACACAGTGGTTGCATGTGCGTTGATATGCCTATCTTTTTTTCATTCTTCTCATATCTGATTGAATTCTGCTTGACAAAAGGGCCGGCTATCCAGCGTCAGGTTTGCATTCTGCTGGTTGCATAGGCAGAGTAGCAAAAACAGACAACAAAAAGATAAGGTAGCAATCATGGACAAAGGATCTGCCTTAAAGGACTGAAAGCTGAAGCGCAGACACAAGAGACCGACTTATATCTTCTTTTGGTCAACCTTTATGGCCTTTTACATGATATTCATCACTGTGTGTATACCTATACTGGCTAAAAACAGTAGGAAAAGCTGGTACCACGACTACCCTTATAAAGGATTCATAAAGGGTTATGAATTAGGTTGTAAACACTTTATTAATCTTTAAAGGTGGGGTAGGTAAGTTTGAGAAACCGGCTCGAGATACACTTGTTATATTCCATGGAATGCTCTTAACATCCCGATAGCAATGAATATCTGAAGTGCTTTGACAAAAAATCCATTAAAAAAGTTCATCTGTGGAAGCCGTGGTACTGTAAAAAGCACGACCAATCATCTGAGCCGGCCCGGCTAAAATGACTGGATGGCCTACCTGCCTGTCAGCCTTCCATCTGTGCACAAACTTATCTCGTGCCCTCATTGGTCATGTGCGCGTTCGTGTGTGTTGGAGGAGGGGCTCTGTAAGGAAGTGGCACATTTTTTCCGGCTGTGTATTTTCAAATTCTAGCGCACTCGAAAATTACATACCCCACCTTTAAGAAGCATTTATAAACCAGTTCTAACAGTTTTCATACATCAACACAGGCTCACTATTTGGCAAGATGACTAAGCCTTACATTGGCTACTTAGCGAGAATCAACTCAGTGAGCAACAGATACCAAGGATGCTGGCTGATGAAGAAGACGAAGTAAGCTAATATAGCTAATGTAGCCAATATAAGGCTTAGTCATCTTGCCAAATAGTGAGCCCACATGTATCTGTACTGCTAAGCCTTATATTGGCTACTTAGTTTACTTCGTCTTCTTCATCAGCCACATCCTTGCTATCTGTTGTTCGCTGAGTCGATTCCCCCCCATCCATCTTGATGTTTCTTGGCATCTCTTTATGACCATTTATTTACGAGTTACTAACATTTATAGTTGCCAAAAGGGAGCCTTGTTGTAAAGTGTAAAACACATTCCCATTTATTAATGAGTTACTGCTATTTCTAATAAGGCTTAGCAGTACAGATAAATGTGGGCTCACTATTTGGCAAGCAACCGGTCACAGTCGCCCTGTTTATTTCATGTCTTATAAAAGCTTATTAATGATTTATAAAGTGTTAATAATTAATAAATTAATTACAAACTATTCGTAAACCCTTTATAAGGGTAGTCTTATTGTAAAGTGGTACCGAAAAGCTTCTCTGAAAGCACGTCACGGCACATTATGATTAAAATATAATGTCCAATTAGGTAAAGCAGAAAAAAAGCTACTAACAGTGTTGACCATAAAAACAAGAGAGCTGCTGTTGGAAAGGAAACCGTAAGAAATAAATGAGTGTTTAAAACCCATAAATAAGGATGAAGCCTGATTAGACTTGTTTGACCTTACAGTTAAAACCTTAAAGCACCTGCAAACCAAACCCGCTGTGCCCACTGTGGGCTTAGTGCAAATACACAGGGGAGTGGAGGGGAATATGGGCCACTGTTAGAGAGATTAGATGCATTAGGAAGGGAGGAGGACTAGATGGAGGGGTAAGGACAGGTGGTTTATCTCTCAGAGGAGGGCAAACTCACAATATGAAGAGGTGTTTCTCACTGTGTAACAGGTAAGCCAGTATGTGTGTATCGTGTCTATATATCATCTGTTCTTATAGTTAGTAGAACACACATCGTCATTCAGATTGTTAATAGAAAAGCAACCACTAACGGCCCGTCCACACGGCGGCGTGCGTTGACTCTTCAACGCTTCTGTCCATTCACTTTGAATGGGGTGACGTCACGCTTCGCCGAACTGCATTGTGGGAGCGTCGCTACGCGTTGCTCGCTGCAAAAGTTGAGCAATGTTCAACTTTTGAAGCTTCGACGGAGGCGTCAGCCAATCAAATCCAGCTTATGCAAATCTGACAGTACAAGTGCTAGCCAATCAAACCGCGTGTATGCTGGGAGAGCCATACCGCAGGTCATTTCCTCATGTTCCAAAAAAGGGAGGATAAAATAATAATAGCGGTAGGGAATCACCCGGTCCTATACGACCAGTCCCTCTTTATCTACCGGGATACAAACCGGAGGAGCCAGGCATGGAGGGAGGTGGCAGAGACAGTGGTAGGTTTTCGCCTGTTTGGGGAGTTTATATCCAGTTTACTTCGGGCTTTTTTGCTTTGTATGTCGGGGGCGGGAGATTCATGTGATTGGTTGTTGGTCGCGAGAAATCCCCAAGCTTCACACACGCCCACCGCCAAGCTTCAACGCACGCCGCCGTGTGGAGTTAGACACTCATGCATATCTGAATTTTAAGTTTAGAGTATCGAAAGACATATGAGAAGATATGAGAGGTCACTTACCAATTTGCTGTGGTGGTATTTGCAGTATCCACAGTACTTCACATTGTCTGCGTCCGATCCTTGCTCCTCACACAACAACCCCGCAAACTGGGCACTGTGGCAGAGAGTAAATTACATTATTTGTAACAAATCTCTCGCTTTTTTAAATTGTTTTATGGGCATTTCATTGACGGTATCAGTAGAGAGGGAAGGGCGATCTGACAGAGAAAGAGGGTGCGTGACATGCAGCATTTGTGCCATGCATCCTATCCACTGGGGCGCTCCACAATCTCCCTCTTTGTGCAGGGAGGATTATGGGATGTAAACGAGTCTCACCATGTGACGTGGAAGGCCTGCCTGCAGCCATGTTTGTTGCAGGTCATACAGGCTCCAGTGGCTGCTTTACTCTCTCTGCCCTGGTCCTCGCAAATATAACATGTCTACAAACACACACGGAGAAAAACAATGTAATTAAAAAAACTGGCCATCATAATTACTTTACATGCAATTGTGTTACTAAATGAATAATTTCTTTACCTTGTTATAACGATCATGTGGCACTGACTGGAGTACTATCGGCTCCATCGTCGAAACATTCGCAAATTCTACTTCCGGTATATAAAGCGCGCAAACTACATGGGCCCAGCCTGCAAAGACACACAGAAAACAACCATCAACCTTTGTATATATGGCAGAAAAAGGGAGTTTATAAGAAATGTACAAATGTATGTTTGTTGATTGACTGATAACCTGGAGAATCAGCAAGGTAAAACAAACCCCATCCGCTCTGATTTGACATTTTATAGACATAACAAGGATTGATGAATCAAGAAATCAATCGTCAGATCAATAAATTATTTAAGTTACTGCAGCCTTACAGTCATTCGTTGAGTACCTTGCAACGGTGGATAAAACTTCTTTGGCCAAAACCCTGAGAACCAATCTAAAATCCTCATGTGGTCTGGCCCCGATGTCACTTTTGGTTACATTTAACATATTAAACATAAATTAAACTTGAGTTCAATGCTGAATCGTAAAAGTTTTTAATTTGCAACTTGGTAGTTAATCTACCCGAGTAGCCGTTTATGGAGCCCTAACACACACAGCTGCCTGTCAGTGAAGACAAACTGGGGGCGGCGGGATGACAGAGTGGTGGAGTGGCAGCAGAATTGACGAGGAACTGAGGAGGAGCAGAAGGCGGTCAGCGCGAGGTCAAATGGAGGTGGGAGTCTCCTGGAGGTGTCTGTTTTTCCCCATAGCGGAAACAAAAACAGGCTTAAACTTACAGTTGAACCCCTGACCTGCCTTTGACCTGGGGGGGGGGAGGGCAGAGGGCGGGACAGGGGGAGGCAGCGGGTGTGAAATGGGGGCATGTTGTTGTTTTGAAGTCCCTCCAAGAATCTGGAAGAGGCCTATAAAACAGGACTATAAAACTGGCACAGCCTTCCTCTTCAAACCAAGCGTTCACTTTTATCCCCCAAAAACCCAACAAAGCATCCCCTGACAAACAGACGCTACTCGGAAAAGTTATCGGAGTCAAATGCGTTCAGACTCTGAGCTTTTATACTGTAGAAAATTGAAAAAATCTGGGGAAAAAAACTGTATTTTCTGGATGATCTTTTGCTGTAAAACATGACACGAGCAGCAGGTACAAAAAAAACAACTAACTTCATCCATGTTGTTCTTACTGTAGTGTGTACTTATAAAAAGTGCCTGGACAGTGAAACCACATCAACATAATAAAAAATCTGGTATTGTATATTTTTTAAACTGATTTGTAGGAGGTGAACTTGTCGCTAAATCGACTTATTTTAATTTTAACCCCTAAATGAATGTATGCCACAGACAATGTTTAACCTTTTAGTGGAACAACTGTACTCTAAACACATGCTATAAAAAGATACCCAATATTTACAGATAAATAAGACCAAAAAGAGGATGTGAAAAGCAGCTGTAAAGTTTATTTCTGTCTCCCTCCTTTCTTCACTGCCGGCTATATGTTCAGATCAAATACTCGTTTCAGGCTAATCCCTCTGCTCTGCTTTATTACTGTCCCACCTGAAATAACAGCAAGTACCACACAGATCAACAAGTGAAGAGGAACTGACAAGGGCGGAGAAATGGACGGTGGAGGAGAAGAGACGGTGAGAGAAAAATGGGAGGAAAAAAGAGAGGGAGAGAGGGGTCATGGGAAGGGTAAAATAAAGGAGAACGTAGTAAAACGGTGTGTGTTAGTGTTGTCCTGATGCCTCCCGGCAGGCCTGGACACAATCCCACAGCTGTGCCTCTCGCTCTGACTGACACACACACACACACACACACAGAATATTTACAGTCTCCACCAAGCTGACCTCCCAATGAACCCAGAGGAGACTCCTCACAGGCCATGCACTATACCCATCCTGGCCCGCCCCCTCATAAACATACACACACACACACACACACACACACACACACACACACTCACACACACTCACACTCACACATACATACACTCACACACATAAAACATGGACTGGCAAGGACGGTGCAGAGAGGCAGCACACACAACAAACAGCAACATAACTCTCTCAGCACGCTCACACCCCTTAAACTTGCCGGTGACATGCAATTAATGACAAAACTACACAAGAGGCTCGCCACAGATGTGTGTGTGTGAGTGTGAGTGTGAGTGAGAGTGTGTGTGTGTGTGTGTGTGTGTGTGTGTGTGTGTGTGTGTAGCTGAGAGGGATTCTACCTCCGTTGTCTGTCCTCTTGAGGGCTCCGTCTTTATGGGGACACAGCTCACATCTCTTTGGGGACAGAAGAACCAAAAACACACAGAAAAATAAAGTTAAATACAAAGTGACCAGTGGCCATCTCAGGATGCTTGTGTGTATGTGTATGTGTATGTGTGTGTGTGTGTGTGTGTGTGTGTGTGTGTGTGTGTGTGTGTGTGTGTGTGTGTGTGTGTGGTGTTGCTCATCTCAAGTCAAAAACAACATGTTGCAGAGACACTTACATGTCCCTTCTTTTTGAGAGAATAATCACATGTTATTTTCAATAACTATCTTGGCGTCAAGCGATTATGAAGTTGAGATAAAATTATCATTGAGCAGCTATTGTAACCCACTTTTTGCCATGTCATTATCATTCATATCCATGCATAGCGTGAATAGATAGGAATCTTAGGGTTTTGAATAATGTCCTAATTGATGTCTAAATTCATAAGATGCTTGAACTCGGACTTTAGAAAATATATACTTTTCATGTATTTCTTACATTTTTTAAACTATTCAAATGATACAGGTGTAAGTCATTACTCATTTCACCAGTTATAGGTATCCGCTTTCTATGCAATGATCTGCTCTTTTTAATATGTTCTTAAAAATATAGAAACATTTCACCTCTTTAAGTTTCACCGCTTGGAATGATGGTTCCTTCAAGTAAAATAAAGTTTGGACGTTTAATAATTGACGTATCTGCTTGGATGTAAAGATGTTTGACACCTCGACACTGCTCTGCACCGCTCAAAGGCTCCTCATGTTCGTACGTGACCTGCTTATCGTTGTAGTTCTCCCCTTAACGTGTAAATGAGAAACCTGGTTTCCCCCATCAGTTGAGAGGCTGGAGGACAAACCTAGTTATCCTGCTAAATTTCTGCGAGGGAAACTTTGCCCTGAGCACACATGAATACGGCAATTCTGCAGATCATTCCTAGCACCTGTATCAACAACTACGCAAGTAAATCTTGTCTGACAAAATCTCGACAGGTCCTTAGAAGTTTGCCGAGGTCATATTAAGTTTAAACTCAGCAGGCCATACCAGTGTGTGTCTTTAGCACCAGCGAAGAAGACGTAAAATACAGAGAGCCAACATCAGTTGTGTCATGCATGATTTAGACGTCTGAGGAGAGTGGGTCATATACTCGGACCAGATAAATCAATAATACATATTTGTCCTGCTGTTGTGCCATTTTTAAGTTGTTGAATGTTTGAGATGTCTTAATATAATGGAACTGGATGGCATTGCTCGAAAGCGCCAACAATATACATTTTAAGAACTCAACATCAATGTCCCGGTCACTCACGATAATCCACAGACCCCGACAAATTGTATTTGGAGTTGGTTTATTGGACTCACTCAAGCAGCATTTGAGATAATCTTTTATAGAGCTTTCAAATCAGGATTAAATGTGATTTGGTGAAATATGATGGTAGCCTGTGCAGAATACAGAGTGTGTGATCGGGTCAAAGGACAGCGGGAGATGTCATGTGACTCAGAAAATGCTGCTGGTACAGGATGTTGCTCCACAAACAGAGGCAGGTCTGTCTAATGTCATGTCTCTAAAATGCCTTTGATACTGCCATGCTGTATTGAGATTGAAGATGACATGATAACCATTGTGGGCTAAAAAAATACAAGCAATATTAGCTCAGTATGCTGAAGAATGCCACAAATGCTCTGTAATAAATTATGTTATTTAAAGCAAGTCCTTGTTCGTAGATTTTTTACCATAAATCGTATATATACACACAGGGTCCCAAGATGTAATAAGGTTAGACTGAAGAACCCTTGTATGCAGCAGTCAATCCTAAAATAAAATATGAAGTTTAATCCCAGAACAAATGAACGATTATCATGAAAACATTGTCTATGGTGATTGTAATGTCATAACAAATGACTGGCCCCTTGTTTTTGTCTTAATATTTGTCCTTGTTGATGTTGCAAATGAAGCAAGAAAAAATCCAGGCTTGATATGATGATAAAATATAATTGTATCTTTCCCTGTTCCAAAAACACAACGGCTTATAAGGTCAGACATCTTTGCACAAATGATAAATGGGTAGATGGATTGTGTGACTTGATAAAATATGGAGTTTAATCCCAGAACAAATGAACGAATATCATGAAAACATTGTCTAAAGTGAATGTAATGTCATAATAATTTACTCTTCCCTTGTCTTACGATTTGTCCTATTTTATGTCGTAAATTAAGCTGTTATGTTGCAAGAAAACATCTAGGCTTGATCTGACGATAAAATATCATCGTATTGTTCCCTGTTCCTAAGAAAACGAAGGCTTATAAGGTCGGACATCTTTGCACAAATGATAAATGGGTAGATGGATTGTGTGATTGTGTGATTGTGTGACTCACCACTCTTGCAGCTCTCTCCTGAGATTCACACTTTCTGCAGAACCAAGGACCGGTGGGCACCTGCACGATGCCATAGCATGCTGAACACAGAGAGAGAGGGAGGGGCGTTAGAGTAAGTCCTCACAATCACAACAAAAGATTTTACACCACAGAATACATCTGTACACAGTGATAATGAAACCAAAGCAAACACAGACACTCTTGATAACATCTTTGCAATATCACATCTCTACTTCTGACACAGCCAGGATGCAAACATGTTACTAAACCGGTTTAAAAGCAGAACATAACAGTATATCCATTTGACACACTTGTTACATCACTATAACTAACAGCTGACGCAGTCTAAATGCACAAAGAATATGTGTAAAATACTTTGACAAAAGGCAGAATTGCTGGTAATGCCTGGTCAACACTTGTTAACGTTTTGAAGCTTGTAACACCATACATAAAGAGTCTGCACTCACATAGTCCACAATCTTCACTTCACCTCCTACATTTCTATTAAAAAAGGTATTTTTATTTTACTTTACTCACTGCTGTTTGGATGCAGGGTCGCAGGGTCAGAGAGGCTATTGACGTCATTTTACTTTCATTCATTCTACGAAGTTATCTCAATTCTTAATATCGTTTAATTTCTAAATCGCATTAGCAAACAACATGATTTAGAGCATGGAACACAACTTCAGGAACACACAGCTCTTTCACCGTAACAGATTTTACAGATGATTAAACGACTCAGACTTTAAGTTACAGTACGGTTGGTGCTAGCATAAATAGCCCACCTCTACACTTTTTCAGATTATCTCTGATCTGACCCGAGCCCTTAATCCAATGGTATACACTGCTTTAATCCAGATTTATGAGAACAAAACACCCGAAAGGTAACAAAGTGCTAACATCAAGTAGCACATATTTAGCACAAACTGCATAATGGGCTCATTTGAATTATAATGGCAGTCTGATTGAAACACCTACAACTTTTCACTAAGATTTAGGCCTCCTTCACACGGGAACGTTTGCGTTTATGCACAGTATGCGTATTCAAAAAAGTCTTCCGTTCACATGCATTCGTTTCATTTAACGTGTCTGTTCAAACGAGGCCGCTGGAAACGCTGTAGTACATATGCCGGGACTGTAAGTGGCGCTGTAACTTCCGCCAAAATACACCAAAAGCAGCCCGAAGCAGCCCGCAGCAATGTTGCCATGGCTACCCTTCTGTTTATGCCCCGCGGTGTATTTAGCAACATGTAGTTCATGTAATTCTCCATGTCCACTTGTTGCTGATGGTTGTGGTAGAGGAGCTGTAGATTTTGCACTAATATCTGTAGCATGGTCAGTAGCAGTAGCACTAGCAGTAGCTACTGACAGGAGGAAGTGTGTGTGGCGATTGCTGGTATTCAGCGGGATATAGTCATATCCTCAGCATATGGATAAATGCAACAGGGAAGTTAACTGAAAGAAACCGAATCTGTGGATATTGCATCGACCGACCAAGAAGCACGTCTCCGTGGAGAGGACGGCTCAGAAAGAGAGATATTCTCTACAAACACCGGGTGAGATCCTCCTTTGTCAATATAATGGATCAGTGCATGAAATCTGACTCTGTTTATTTTGTTTAAGGAGTATATTGGGCGTTAACAATTCTGGTTTGCCTTTTATAATATTATTTAATTCAAGAACCCCTTGTGCGTTTAATTAACACAGCTATTTTTGATAGTTGCTACAGCAGTGAGCAGGAGAGGCGGGGCTATCGTTATTTTTTCAGGAAATATTCGTATAGAGGTGATTACACGGACTCGGTTGACCCCCCAGAGCGTTTCGTTTGCAAATCTATCCACCTTGGGACCCGTTATCGTTTGTGGGGTCAGTTTCTATCGGCCTTGTGTAAATAATAGGGCTATACGCACACAAAACTATGCAGATACAAGCAGTTTTCTCCTCGTGTAAACGGCGCCTAAGATTTAGAGGCTCAAACACACAGAAGACATGTTTTTATACATCGTGTTTTAACTATAGGGCTGCAAATAACAATTTGTTTCAATATCGATTATCTGCATATTATCGTCTTAAACGGGGTCTCAGATGTTGGTTTATAATGATATCAAAACAACAGGAAATGTCCATATTCAAGAGGTCTTTGCAAAGCACTACTTATCTTTCCTGGCTCTTTTTACATAAATCTCTTTAAGGGATTAAATAAATGCCAGCAATTTGATAGAAAAATGCAGAAAAAAGACACTCATTGGACAATGTTGCATGTTTCTAGTTAATAATATCTAGCAAACTTTCATTTAAAACACTTTCCTGACTGCGGTTCACAATATTAAGTAATAATATATTCCAAACATACTACAACTGCAAACTAGCATGCAGTACATAAAGAATAGACTGTGCTGCCTAGTTCATTACTAAACCACAGAATTTTAAAAAGACCACATTTTGTTTTGATGCAAGCGTTTAATATGTGATCCGATATCCAAAACACTCCAAACTACAATCACTGACGTCTATATTTAGAAACACTTGGCAGTACTGAAGCTTCACAACTCAACTTTCATCTGGGACAGGCCTTGCTTGATGCTAAAAGTATAAAAATCCATTAAAAATAACTTTCCTGCTGAGGCTGGAATAATATGATGCAATCATTAAATACTAGGCTATGAAATGTGGCACTATAATATGTAATAACAACATAATAATAAGGCATGCTTAAGACCAACAAAGTGGAACAGGAGGTTTAAAAAAAAAAGCAAGTTAACAGACCTACTCTCACTGGACCTATTTTGCAGTCCATGCAATAATCAAATTAATACAAAAGAAAGTGTGTTTTCCTAACAAGTGCTCATCATTGAAATGCATCTGTGTGTGTTCATGCAGAGTTGCTGACATGTCAAATAGTTTCCCCCTGCCTTTGCTAAGTGGACACATGGCCAGCTGTTACACTTATAAACAGTGGACGTCATCGTGAGTCATCTTGGGTGAAACAGTGTCTTGGCGGCACTGTATTTGTTTACATTGCCTGTATTTAGATTGTTCAATTACTGCCACTATATCTTTGCACCTTGTCTTCTAATTGTTTATGTACCTTGTTGTTTGCAACTTGTGTTTAATCCTTATTTGTGCACAGGTACACTGGGAAATGTCGTTCCTACCTAAACGTCACTGCAATGTAAATAGATGCATGCATATCATAACAATAATAAATGCTAACATGTAGCAGCTAGAAACCATGCAATTGATGGCTTTAAAAAAAGAGTCAATATATGGGGTTCTTTCCATAATGCAGTTTGCACTATTTCTTTAGTAGTAAGTGGCCGTATCACATATTTATAAAGCCCTTGGTGGGAGTTTTGCGCGCACTTTCACACTTCTGACAGGAGGAGTGTATCCTTCCTCTGGATCCCGCCTGACAGGAACACAGAGGGAATGAGAGCAACCAGAATAGCTCTCATAAAGCAGCTGTCAAAGACCGTGTGCAGCGGATTAAAAGCCAAAGTTAGGAGCCAAACAGTGGAGAGCCTGACCTCAGCCTGGCCTAGTGAGGACAGGCGGAGGAGGAGGAGGAGGAGGAGGCTCCATAACCTTGCACTAACGCTAACTAGCCTGTGAGCTAAGTGCTAACTCGTAGCCTGGGTGAAATACGCAGCTTTACCTTGATGCACGGCCACGTTGCAGCCGTGTCCGTCGCAGTACACCAGAGGGTTTTCAGCCCAGCCTCGCTCGTCAGAGCAAACACAGCAGCCGCCGATCATCTCCTTCATATTATTCGTCGACCACTCGTCGTCCGCCGCCAGACAACGCTCGCCGGAGACCATCTACGAAGAAAGCGGACATGCGGAGGAATACGGTGCACAGCTAATCAGAAAAAACCTCCGCCGGAGACGCCCTACTTTCCTACGTAGCTCTAGGTTCCTCTCGGTCGAAATGTCATGTTTTTAAGGTATTTACGTCCCTTTTTTGACACCGTATTTTCTCACCAAAACATCCACTTCACGGCGCGGCGGTGAGGAGAAGAGGGGGGGGGGGGGGACTCCGTAGAGAACCGGATGTGCGTAATGACGCACGGCGTTCTCTGTCACCGGAAGTAAAACACCGATGTGATTGGCCCGCTGAAATCCGTTTAGGCTCCACATGGTCGAAAATGTTTGAAAGTTTTTGTGGCAAAAATACTTCCCTTTGCTCGACTCACTGTCAACAACACAGTTACACAACATGCAGGTAGGTACTACAATATGTCGGGTTAACTCAAGTACTTTACTTAAGTATTATTTTGACACAATAGTACTTTACTTGAGTATTTACATTGTTTGGCTACTTTATACATTTATACAGCGGCCAATTATATACTTGTTACTCCTCTACAGGTATTATACGACACACTTCTTTACTACTTATCAACAGTGTATTTTCGGAAGTCTATAGAAGTTGCTCCACATCTACAAAATAAAACATTAAAATGTATATGATATGCAATGTATTTGTTAGCTTTAAAACACAGAATAACCAAATATTGTTTAATACTGTGACTGAAAAGAGACAATATACATAACCAGTATTTTTGCTTTTGAGGTCCACTGTGCAGAAATAAAATATTGATACTTTTAAATACTTGTTGTTGCTGCTAATACTTTTGTACTTTTACTTGTCATTTTTATTTAGCACTTTTTACTTGTAATAGAGTATTTTAAGACCATAATACTTCTACTTAAGAAAGGGATCTGAGTACTTTTTCATGCACCTATGCGGGTTACTGACACAACTATTAAACCAGAGGTAAATGTTGATATGTTGTGGAGGACGTATTCAGGCCCTAATTTCGGAATCACCCCCTGGAGTAAAAGTGTTGCATTATGAGCAAAATGTCCTGAAAGTGTTCAAAGAAAAGTATCCATTGTGAAGTCAAATGTTCCCTGTCAGTGTTAAGGCTTGTCTATAGGATGTTTTTATTTTTTTACAATTACTTTGATTTTTTTTAAATAATTGCTATTATTGAGTGGCACGATGTAACAAAGTTCAATTACATGCAGGTGGGGTTTTACTGATGGAAAACAATTAAAAGCAGGCTGTAAACAAAGGGGAAGTATACAAGTCTCTACCAGTATCCCACAGTGGAAATACTGCATTACACCTAAGCTAAAGGGCTTGAATTCAAAATATAACTAGAAGTATGTTAGCTATATTACCAAAGTATTCTTAAAGTACAGATATTCATTGTGAAGTAAAATATTTTCCTGTCTGTTTTACTATTATAAAGACAGTATTGTGTTTTTTGATGACTAATTCTGCTGCACAGTTTACTCTATTTAAGTACAATTTTGAAAACTGTACTTGTGTATCTCTGTAAGAATGCTTTTGGATTGCTGTCACACTACTACTCTATAGTAGGACTGTGAACATGTTTAATTATGTTTCGGGCTTTATAATAATTTTCAAGTTGCAATGCAGAATATTTCCTAGATGTAATTTATGTTTGTACACATGCATACTTACAATTATTGTGTTTTATTACTGCTTGTCAAACTAATCTTATGCAACATGGCAATGATTTAAACAAAACATTACTTTTATAATTATATAAACAACAGGTTTTCAAAATAAGCCACATATTTGTTGTCAACTATTAGGATTCCCTGCTTCACTATTTTACATTTATTTGTAATGTTTTATTTTGGACAAAAAAAAGACATGTAGCCTAACTTGTGGTCGGAAAACATTTAACGCATATTTAATTGTATATAACATTTTAAATAAATAAGGTTGGCCTCACTGCAATTGACTGATTTTATTGACTAAATCATTAATTGATTAATTGGTTGGCAGAATAATCAATAAAGAAAATAATTGGTTTCATTAGTAGTTGCAGACCTGGTGTGTTCACACACACGGAAAACATTAATAAACCAACATATCGAGTGATGGCACTATATTCTGGAAAGCTGCTGGTTTTCCATTTCTGTTTGAATTTTGTTTTATTCATGATTTACTTTACTTGTTTCTGTGAGGTTCTACTTTGATAACTGTCATGTCACTATATTACTCGTTGATATAGTTATGATAGAGGCTTAATAATTAACGTTCAAGCTGTAATGCAGGATGTTTTACAGATGTCATGTTTGTTTATATTTCTACACATACATCCTAGTCACTTATCTTGCTAACTAATAGATGACAATAACTCGGAGGCTGTGGCGCAGTGCGCTGGTGCGTTGGTGTTCGGATCAGGGGGGCACAGGTTCAAACCCCACTGCAGTCAGCATGTCGTTGTGTCCCTGAGACACTTCACCCCAAATTGCTCCTGTGGGGATTGCCCACAGTATTGAGTATGGAAGTCGCTTTGGATAAAAGCGTCTAACATGTAATGTAATGTAACTGGGTAAAAAAATGACATTTATAACTGGTGCACCATGCTATTGAGAAATAATGATTAAGAATAAGATGGTGTGGGCCTGCTGAGCGTAGAGCTGGGAGACTTGAGACAGAATTTGAAATGCTTTTTATTGTAATAATAAATACCTTTAACTAAATGGGCTTTGAGAATCCTATATCAGGCTGCTTATCAGACATGTCAATATACAGTTTTGTTTTGACAGCATCCCCATGCTGTTGCCAAGGATGCTCCACAACACACACACACACGCGCTATTCCAAGCACTCAGCTGCTGCTTGCATCACCGATTCCTCAGAGCGAGCTCCCGCTCTTGGTTTCCAGAGAAACGTAATGACTTGCCAATAATGCGCAAGAGCACACGAGCGTCCTCCATGTAATATGGTGAGCGAGAGGTCCCTGGGAGTGCCTGCCCATTGTTTGCTTTAATTTCAAATTGCTCAAATGCTCCAGTCGACACTGGGCACTGCACTAAAAGGGGTAGTGGGAGGGATGGGGAGCTGGGGAAAAGGGAAAAAAGTGAATTGTGTGTGGCAGGGGAAAACCTATTAGAGCTGGAGAGAACAAAGGGAGGCGAAGGAGGGGGCAGCGGTTGTGGAGGGGCCCATATAGCTACTGAAACACTGAAAATGGCAAATGATTTTTACAACTTGCACTTGATTAAGTCAAAGTCTGAGCGAATCATGTGTTCCTCTGTGTGTCAGTGAAGAGCTTTCTCTGAGTCCGACTGACGCTGCTTCAAACCCATATGTGTGACCTCAAACTACATATAGCACTCAGAATACTTATCATTTAAAGTATTATATTATTATGGCAGTATGAAGTATAGATTTATTGCTCAAATTGTGTATGAAGTTAGTATTTGGATGAAGATTTCTAAATCTCCTGCATCAGTGTTTTTGCTACAGGCCTTGAACTGTTTGACTAAATTAGCTGTACTGTGCTTAGCAGTTTTCTCATGCCACATAAAATATATAATTAACATTTAACAGACTGAAGAACCGGGCACCACTTTTCCACGATGCAGAGCAGGATGTATGTCATAGGCCACTGACTTAAACATTTAGCCTGTATTTTGTGGAGACTTGCAATTAAACCTAAGACTGAGATAACATCCTTGAAAAACATTTGATTATAGTATTTCAAATTTGGTCAATTGATTTGGCAGTTTGTGAGCCTTTAGATAGAGAGTTTAATTAGCTTTCCTGTAGTATGCTTGACATTCAGTCACTCATGCTTTTCTTTGTCCTCTTTGGGTCTATGTTTAATTGTCAGAAATGTGACTTCACAGCACTTGAGTTTTAAAAAGTCCTGTGTTTGGGTCCTGCCTGTTTGCTCCGGCTGAGGGAAGTTTTGTGGTCTCTCTGTGCAGGATGGGGAACGTGTAAAATACGCTGGGAGGAAAGAGCACTGTGAAAAGCAACCCCACACCCACAGATTTCTGCATCTGAAATGGTATTGTGTTGAAGCCATTGCACACACACATATTGGAAACACTTACCTGCAGGTTATTTGTTTTGCCAAATGGTTACAGCTCCTTATTTGCTTCCTAACTCCATCTTTTTAAAGGCTACTGTGTTTTCTTCACATGTATACATTCTTAGAAAGAGTAAGGAATGCTGTTCAGAAACATCAAACCAGTAATACAATCTAAATGTTGTTCTTTTAAGTTTCATACTGAAGTGTGTGTGTGCATGCATTACAGGGAAACTGTGCAGAAAACCAAAGCAGTCTGCGAGGAATGTTTTCACAGACTTAGCTCATAAGCTTCAACAAATGACTACTGACAGCTAAGTATAGCACTTTTATTTTAAAGCATTTGTATTCTCAAACAGATGCCATATGCTGTTTTCAATTCATCAATGAGGAATGTTTTGTTTTTTTGTCATGTAGAATGTAAGTAGCCTGGCGTGGCAAAATAAACAGCATAACATTGTTTACGTTAAGTCAAAGAAAATGTATGCTGTGTGACATATTTGATCAGGTTTTACACAAGCTATCCTAGCATATGCATTTAGTCCAACTATTATTCTTTAGATTGAAACAATGAAAACAGTGTTTCAGAGACAAAGCAGTGAGTTAGCAGCGTGCCGGTTTTTCAGCTTTTCATGTGTGTGATGGATTCAATTTCTATCTTTTCATCCACATTTTTCCCAACTCTCGGTTGCTTTAAAACAGTCCGTTTTAGTTCCGATAATTCCGCAGCCCCTATAAATGCATCATTAAATGTAGTAAAGCTTGATAAGACAACATAGGGTAAGATTTACTTTATTGATCCCAATTTGGGACTTTTGTAAACAAGGCATTGCACATAATGTGAAAATGAAAGAGTAGAAAATTAAACAACTCAAAATTGAAAATAAAACAGAACTAAAAAGTCAAATCTATACATATTGACAGTGGAATATACATATTCATTTAGGCAGTAATTATAGGTTTTATATCACTTTATGGATACCTTATGTGTTTTTCTGTTCTGTTTTAAATCTGTCTTGTGTGGACATAGTATGGTCTGATTCTGTGTGTCTTTCTTGTGGTTTATTGCACTTTATAGTACATGTAATATCTATAGTAGGCTATGAAATGGTTGTGACAGACCATGTGCATTCCCATCTGTATCAAATGATTGTAGTTCCTGTGTTGGGAGCGCTTGGACCAAGTATTTGTTAATCGCTATTCCAATAGAAATGTTGCTGCTTCGTGAAGCTTGGAAAAAAAACATAGGTTGCAAACACTGAAATGACCCGAGAAGCCGAGTGAACCCTTTACATTCAGGAGCTATAATGCGTCTTTTCTTTTCCACACCACATTCAGAGGCATTCGTATTTACGCACGGTGTCCTCTCTGGTCGGTGAGTAGCACAGGGGCCCTGGAAAAAAACAGTCCCAACACGGAGGGGTGAAAGGTGAAGAGAGCCCTCCCCCACCACTGTCCGCACACACTTCAGGCTCGGATTGCATGTAAAATCACATTCTCCGGGGGGTGGGAGGAATTCATTGTTTTGGCATGGGGCAGTGGGTTTGTGTCATAAAAAGTCTATGCTCTTACAAGTGCCTGCGCCTCCTTGACCAAGTGTCCCCATAAAACTCGACGCAAAGCAAATGACTTGGAGCAACACGAGTGTTCTAGAAAAGAGTTTGAAGCCTATTCCAAAAAGATTTTATGCCCAGTGAGTTTATATAAAATATATGATATTCAACCATTTTAATAGGTTACATAAACCTCGTCCGGGATTGTATGAAGTGTGAGGACTTTATATATATTTTTGCAAGCCTGTAAAACTTAAAGCAAATACGTCATTTAGTATTTAAAGAGTGCTGGAGACATTTTGTGTGTTCCTTCTCCAGCATTGAAGTTTCAAACTATTTAAATCGTGTTAAAATGTTGGTTACACTGCGCAAAACCCCGGAGCATTGGTCGTGTGTGTGTGTGTGCGTGTGTGTCCGACTCCTTACCGTAATCAGTCTCTGACAAATTAAAGAAGTATAAAGCAAGAAGTAAACATTTGCCATGTGTTGGCCTTTTTAAAATAAAAACTAGACGTTATATTCATTTAAGTTTGAATTAAACTATGCATCATGGATGTTCTTTAAATGAATCCAGGTTTAATTGACTCCCATTTAAACTAAAGAAAATACGTGAAATGTCCACGACCTCATTACACTGCATTACGTAATTGTAACATTGTGTGTCTCCACCACGTAGTCATGTCGTCACGTATTTTTGTGAGACCAGGTTGACATCCTGCAGGTTAAAGTGATTTTTAGTGATTCTCCCGCAGTGTAACTCACAGGCAGGAACAGCTTATAATGTCCTTCTCTAATGAGTCTAAAGTGCAGGACTTCTCGAGCATTTCCCCCCCACCACCACCAGCTCACTGCCGGCTGTTGAGAGAAACCTCCCCCGTGTTTGAGGGCTCTCTCTCGGCCACTCGCTCTGCTTCCTCCCCTCCACATCCCGGCGCAGAGGCTGCAGAAACTGCCCTGTGGCATCTGGTGCATCTCAAATCTGCATGACAAAAGAGTCCCCGGTCCTAATTGGAAATACTCCAGTGTGTACACATGCACCAGGTTATTTATATTCAGCAATTATAGCAATATTATATTATCGTTTTAGCAGGTTTGAGATGGTCCTCAATTCAGACCTGCAGGTAAACGGAGAGCTGATTTAAAAACACAAATCATGGCGTCACTGGCAGAGGTTTGGAAAATCCTACCTGATACAAACAGTACAAATAACGATTTTATTTTAAATACCTTTTACTTTGTCTTGCTCTGATAATTATTTTATTATTTAAGAATACAAATATATATATAAAAAAAGAGATGGTGTTTATAAAATGTATTATGATTTAAAATAATGATATATTATAGTAATATATTTTATTTATATGTAATGGAGTTTTATGGATAACTCACATTCACAATTGCTTTAAGCAGACTGCTGCTGTTCAGATCAGCGTGTGTTGGTGTGCGTGTGTGAATGTGTATGAATGTGTGTGTAGGAGTTATAATAGAACGTTGGGAAATTAATTGATTATAAGTTTGATAAATTGTTATAATTTTGAGAGTGTGTACGGTTGCTCATAATAGCACTGGTGTAGAGCTTTGTGACTGAAGTGTGAAAAGTTGTTGCTGATCGATCCGCGCTGCAGTGACGTCACCTCACACACGTAAAACTGAAGCCTTACAACTGCTGTGCAAGCTTTATAATTTGTGACAAGGAGTGTTTGTTATGTATGTTATATGACAAATATATTCAATTGAACTCCTCCGTTTAGATGTGGACAGATTTAGGTCAGGTATGGTTGAATCGTCTAGAGAGAGGGCTTAAAAACTAAGAACGTATTTAGTCAACCAATAAAAACTAACTCAGGTTTCAAGAAAGGAAAGACATGCAGGGGTCAGGACGTGTCTGTCTCTCCCTGTCTCTCCAGGCAGGGAACAGTGCACCGTGGCTCCAGGATCGGTGTTATTCCCCCGGGGATCCGGACCTCCACAAACTGCCCCTCCTCTCACATCACTTCGCTGCATCCGTGAGGCTCCGCATGGCCCTGTGTTCATGCTGTCATCCAGGATCTGCACGGAAATGAGCGAGCCTTGCTGCTGCAGGTTCCTGTATTTACAGCAACCAGAATGCAGGTCAGATGTATCATGGGAGTTGAGTCGACCTGGAGTTTGGTGAAGTGATTGGGCAGACAACTGATAGCTGCACATGTAGGCGAAGGCTACTAACGCACAGAGATCCATGATTCAACTGAGCGTAATGTCACAAGTAAACGCAACAGCTTTCTGAGGCTTATGCAGTGAAATGTCACACAAGGAGATCTATCAGGCTTCTATATTCATACATGTAAATTATCCATTAATGCTATACTATGCCACTTGATTTTTTAAAAGCAGAAAATATTTGGCCCACAGAGAAGCTTAATCCATATTTGGTCTGACATTTCAATGTGCAACACTCTGACACTAATCATCCAAATACGCACGAATACGTATAGGCTGTGTATGCCCAGATTAATTCCCTTACTGTTCTCCTTATTTTTATTTTATATTCGCTGTAATCCCTTGACCCCAGCGTTAGTGATGCTCTACCGTCCAACAGTGTGCGTGTATTTTATGGAAACTGTCCAAAAATATCCAGAGGTTTAACAAGGAGCTATAATAAGAACGCCTACGTGTATAACACGATGTTTGATGTAACACCGAGCTAACATCGCTGCCATTCAACGTACAGTGAATGCTCTGTAAATAAGCAAATAGGCTTAACATTGTGGGAATGAGCGTGCCCAGTCTTGAGTCTGGCCCCAGCACGCACTGCACTGCGCGTGAGGAACGGGCCACAAGGGATTCACGTGTTTTATAGATAACAAAGACGCAACATAATAACGCAGGGAGTGATGGGAAAATGTGTCTCAGGGTGAAACACAATGGCCGGTCAAAACTGTTTCATAAGGCCTATACCGGTAATTCAGACAATTAGCTTTTAATGTGTGTATGTGCGTGTATGTGTGGTGCACGCGCGTACGTGGCTCAAAGTGTGCGTCTTTCTTTATGATTATGCGTGTGTGTGCGCGCATATCCTTGTGTGTATATTAGGCGAAAAGTCATTGCGTTGTGTGTGTGTGGTGTCCTCGGCGTGCACATGCAATATGCACGTATTCACAGAAGAAATGTTAAAATGTGTACACAATATTACACCAAATCAGGTCCTATAACTAAAGTGATCTTTGTGCATTAATCCACACAAAGCGTGCGTGTTCCTGTTCCCCCTGTTATGAAAAGCTACTTGTTGATTATACTATTATTAACGTATAACCTATATGTTTTAATATGTTATAATTCTTGTCTGGTTAAACCTATTTTTGACTATGAAATCTTAATCACATTGTTTAATGCCTTAACCTATTTTCTTGAAAATCTTTGTGGGAAAAGCAACCCTGACTCTGCACTTTTACTGTCCAATCACTGCTCCCGTTGTTTCACCACGCTACAATCTAACTGGGATTTTTCGGTGTAGCACGAGTCCACTAAACTCGCCTGAATATAATTTCTAGTGTTTGACAATAAGGCACATTTTTTTATCTCCAATTATAGCAATTAACTACACACTATACATAGGCTATATGAACGTTGTAACACCCTGGTGAGCACATTTCAAATTAATGCAAACACACACAGGGAGGAACAGAGACGCACACACTGAAAGGGAAAAGGTTGAAAATGCCGATGTAGTAAGGTAAAACAGACGCATTAATATAGGCCCTCACAGAATAAATATTATAGGAAAAGTGTGGGTCACTTAGTCAAGCATCGAGGAAGAAAATCATATGGACGAAAAGCCCGAGCCAACAGAAGCAGACACGTAGAGCCGTGGTCAGGCAAAATGTGGAAAAGCAGCTCTGCAAGTGTAAAAAGCAAATGTCTTTGTTTAAGCTGCGCTGCGTTAACACACATCACTGTGGAGTCAGTTCAGCAGCACACTATCGATTGCATACTCCTGCATGCATTTTGACTAAAAGTGAACAGCACTTAATGCATTCCAGTCTTATCGTGACATTCTGCAGACTCATATAAACCTATTCTGGTTTAGCAGCTGGAAATATGAATTTACTTTATTTTCTCCAACAGTGAAGAATTTGGGCAAACTATTGTGACGGTGGGGTGTGTGAGGGGGTGGGGATGGGATATCCATTTTTATTGCATCACCTGTCAGCCGCGTCCAATGGGCGTCGACTCGGAGGGCATTAATTGATGAAGGTGTCTCCAGACCGGTGCACCTCCCCTCTCTGTCATTTTATTTGTGGCTCGACCAGCAGCCAGAATAGCAGCTGCATTTTTAGCTCTTATTCTTTTTCTCTCTCTCTCTCTTTCTCCCTCCCCTCCACCCTCACAACTCCCTCCCTCCCTCTCTCTCTCTCTCTCTCTTCTCGCTATTTTATCCCTCTGGCTGAGGCAGTGGTGTACACCTACCCCTCGTCCTGCTGCCGACCAGAGGGGAGTGGAGCCGGCAGAGGCAGGTAGCAGCAGCCCCGGCTTGGTGGACGTATCCGTCGCATTCCTCCACCATGCCGGACCGGGGCAAGAGGCGACGGGTGGATGCTGTCACATACACCGGCAGCTCCATTTAATGTCAAAGTTTGCATTTCATGACGCAGCAGTGTGGATTAAAGGTATGAGCAGGATGAGCTCTGTGCCATTCACCGGTAAATCCATAGCATACTGAGACTGCATGGATTAATATTGGATACATAAAACATGGGAGACCTGGAGTGTGGCTTTGAGGAAATGCAAGGAGTGAGATTGGGATACCTGCTCATCCAAGGCAAGCAAATGTTTGCTTTGTCTCAGGTATTCACCGACCTTCTGCAGAACATCCCCCGGACCACGGTGCACAAGCGCATGGACCACCTGAATGTGAAGAAGCACCACTGCGACCTGGAGGAGCTGCGGAGGCTCAAAGCGATTAACTCTATAGCTTTCCACGCCGCGAAATGCACGCTCATATCGCGGGAGGACGTGGAGGCTCTGTATTTCTCCTGCAAGACGGAGCGGGTGTTAAAGTCCAACAAAAGGAAAGCGAAAGCTGCGTGCTCCCCCGGGGCTGAGGACGCGTCCCAGGGGCGTGCAGACACCGAGCTATGGAAGGAGAAAGTTTGGTTCAGTTTGCACGGTGTCCCGGAGACACCTCTCAACAAAACGAGCAGGAGGAAGGAGCTGACTCCCCTGCCTCACCGACTCCAAACTACCTCAGTTTTACCAGAAAACGAACGGACGGGAGTACCGCTCGGCGACTAAGTCCGGTCACAAACACTTTAAAAACTATGAAACAGCGAAAACAGCAGGGAACCGGGTCACTCTGAGCCAAAGGCAAGCGTTTTTCCGGCAGCCGGTAGTGCTTCAGTCCGCCATAGCTGCTCAGTCCAGGCTCTCGCGCTCAGCCGGCGACCTACTTCACAAAAGGAAGAGGAGGCGCGAGGGGGGCAGGAGCAGAAACGCGCAACAACACGTACCGCCGGTGCTGCTCGTGCAACCCAAATCCAGCCACGGGACTTCTTTCGGTGCTTTCCACCTCGGTCCGGATCTCTTTCTGGACCCCAGACCTCACCATCATCACCACCACCATCATCATCATCACCACCACCACAACGAGCCCGGTTTCCCGGAGAGCTACAGCAGCGACACCGAGTCCAGTACCTACTCAGACCGGGCCGACTCGGACTTTGGGTCCGGCTTCTCCAGCACCAGCAACTCCGGGAGCTCCGAGGAAGAGGAGGAAGAGGAGGATGAAGATGACACGCAGTCAGAGAGTTCAGAGGTCAGCTCGGATGAAGAGGAGAGCTCCTCTCAGTCCGACTCCAGCTCTGTTTCCAGCCGGGTTTCGGTGCAGAGCATCCGGTTCAGACGGGCCCGGGTTGGCTCTGTCTCCAAAAGTGTCAGCACCGGTAAAGCCCCTCTGGTCCTGCAGCCCACGTTTCACTACAACCAGCACCAAGAGAAACCACACCGGTCACTGGGCCACGTTTCCGCGTCACAACCAGGGGACAGGAGACAGAAGAAATGTGAGTTTAACTGCAGTGAAGCTAGAAAAGACTTTGGACCTTTACAGCCGCCAAGATTTAACTCAAGTCTCATGGGAGAGAGCTTTTTATTCGAGTACAAAAAGGGGAACGCTTTTGAGTCTGATCCAAACAGTGTGGACCCTTATTCACCGGGACACAACCGGATTCCCCCCCCCTCACGCAGAACACTTCAGTGTGACCAGGAGAGATACACCAAGCGCCCCAGATGCACCGAGAAAAGGGAGGCGAAGCCCAGCAGACTGAAACTGTCCCCTCCGCTGAAGAGAATAAAAACCGAGCCAGAGGAGCTCTCTGTGTCCGCGGCCCCCCGCCCGGACCGCGGCAGGACACCCCCCTTCAACCTCCACAATGTGAAAGTTAAAGTGGAGGAAAGCTGTGATGAATATGAATACCAGAGCCAGGCAGTCAAATGCAAAGGAGATAAGACAGAGAGCAATGGGCAGTATCCCCTAAAAAATGGGGGCTATTTCGGGATTAAAGCCACAGCGAAGAGCCCTGATGTGGCCCCCAGGTCCCCCTGCAGCCCTCAGGAATGCAGGAGCTCCCCGTGTATTGAGGAGGGGAACAAAACCTGCAGGGCTCCGGTGCTGGGGGGGAAAAAACCTCGAGTTTCCAGGACGCAAACAAAACACAGGGTCAACCAAGCTGCCTCTTCCTCTTCCTCCTCTTCTTCGTCGTCCTCTTCGCGTCCAGAGGAAGTATCCACGGAGGATGTACCGAGCAGACGCAAACGCAGCACTGTAGCATCGCCTGCTAAAATGCTTTTCAGCCTGATGGCACATTTCCCCTCCCCGCCGTCGCTGGTTGTTGGCAGCGACGGGGATTTGTGCCCTGCTTACTCCCTTAAGTCGCCGAGGGGCGCCGGGCCTCCCCCTCCGTCCCACCCCGTGTGGAGGTGGCAGCCAGGCGGACAGATTCTCCCTCCCCCACCCGCTCAGAGGACTAGGAAATACTGAGCAGGGGTTTAAAAACAATAGCCTTCACCATCGACAACCTCTCCGTGAGCTCACCACTCGCAACTTTACCGGTGTGCAGCCAATTTTCTGTGAATGGGTTTACATTCCGCTTTGTTTTGAAGTTTGATCGAGAAAAAAAACCCTTTTTGGAGCCTCAGAAAACGCCCACAGGACTGTGAGACACTGCTCGTGGATTTACGCTTAAAAAAACTGTTTGAAATAAGCTTTCAATCCTAAGCAATATGTTTCTACTTGACTCTTTCTTCTTCGCTTTTTCTATGCTCGACCTGTTGGATTGTATGGTGCCAAGGTGTGTGCTTAAAGGAAATGTTTTAAAAAAAGAAAAAGCACTCCTTGAAATGAGGCTAATCTATAGCTGGGACTGAGGGCTAGTTGGTAAATCAAAAAAAAAAATCAGGGTTTCCCATTCTGTGCCACCTGGTAATTGTATATGTCAAAGCTGTTTTCTTTCATGACATGCTGACCACAATGCCCCACATTTCAGAGAATTATTAAAAAATTGGTTCAGTAATATCTATCTTATTATGCTCACAGAAAAGCCTTTATTAGATTTGGCAGGAGTGTATTCTTGCTGGTTGTGTTTCTTTTTTTTCCTTTTCCTAGAGTGCTTGATGGTTTTCAGTCTTTCAGGTTTTCTTTCTGCTGAGTATTTCCTGGTTTGCAAATGTGTGACAGTGCACAGACGCAGGCCCAGACACAACACAGGCCTTATGTACAGACAATCAAAAAGAGAGAGACCTTCATCATAGCACGTCAGCTCCCACCATGGACTTGATGCATGTCCCTCATGGTGCAAAACCAGTCTGTATTTTCCTCTATGCAGGACTAATGTAAAGCTAAACAGACAGTATGCCAATATCCAAGCTAGGCAGTGGATGGGATGTGATTTAGCAGTCCATATGGGGGGGGGTAACAGCACCAAAAACAGCGTGAAACACCTTCTAGCTCTGGCTACTCTGAAACAATGCGACAAAGCACAAGAGATAGGCTTAAAGGCACTTTGATACTGTAGGGGGGTCTTGGTTTTAGCTTTCTGACTAGCCTGTGAAATGATGTCTGAGAGAACTTAAATAAATCATTTGGATCTACACACAAAGGCCAAACTGCATTAACTTGACTGATATTTGAATATCTAACCATGCCATTCTGGTTTTCTGATTTAAAAAAAAAAGAATTTAATAATATGCTAATTTCCGTGAAGCCACTGTTGTTCATTATTCTCTTTGCAGCTGAAGTTAATTGTCTCGATCTAAGCTGGAAAAACGCCAATTATTTCCTATTATTTGACACCCAAAATACAATCAGTTTTAAAATACTGCTCTCTTTATATGTCGAACATCACCATCTCATTATCTTTAATGTAGCCTTTGGAATATGGCCGCTCAGTGAATGTAGTATCCCTGATTGATTTACCCCCTTTAATTCATTACAGACTTCACACACAGGAAGTGAATCCAGTGACTGAAGCTGCACCTACATGCAGGTATTTTAAGTAAATGTGTGTTTTTAATGGCAGTACAGGTCTGCTAATTGGCAGGCTTTCAGTCTGCGACAAAGAGAGGCCCAGCTTATGGCGAGCCACACCACAACAAACCCAAAGCCTGGATGATGTCAGCCCCTCACACGCTGCATTCATTCAGAGGATTGTAGAAAATGGGTGATTGTTAAAAAAAAAAAGTGAGTTTGCCTGAATCAGCGTGGATGCATATGTTTAACCACGTGATTAACTCTGCAGCCATGAGAGAGATTTTCAAACTTGAACTTTTATCCCCAGCGCGTAAAACTGGCTGTTTCTGACACAAACTGAGCAGGCTTGCAGTAAAACGGAGGGGGTTGAGAGGGTGCTGTGTTGCAAGAGCTTTCAACCTTTAATCCGCATGTCAAAAGCATAGGCTGCACGGCACAGGGAGAAGAGGAATAGCCTCACCCAGAGCATGCAGGCGCCCCCCCCCCCCCTCTGTCGCACCGGCCTACGCACAATGCGCGGCCGAGGGACGGAGGTGGTGGTAATGGCCTGTTGGGAGGGCCTTTCCACCGTTAAGACAAATAGCTCTCTGACAGTGACGCTATCAATGTAAACAATTGCAGCGTGCACCCCCCCTCCTCCCCCTCCTTCTCCTCGTTCACTCATTTTTGATACTTGAGGTCAGCTTTTTGACATGGAGTTTGAAGTCACTGGTTGTTTATATGAAGCTGAATATTTATTTTTGTGACTTTTTCCTGGGGTTTCTTGTATATTGATTTGTTGTTGTTGTTGTGAATATTATATAGAACAACTGCACTCGAAATGGAAACTTGAACGGTGGATTTCTGAAGCACTTTCCCTCTCTTTTCTTTTTTATTATTATTATGAAGCATTCATTAAACGCGACTGAGTGTAATTATCAGACTCTGTCTTTCTTTAGGACCATCACGTGTGGGTTTTTTCCAGGGGGGGTTAACAGATTTAATGATGGAGGAATTGGCCTGGGGTTTGCATTGGGAGAGGGTTATGAAAACAAAGTGATTTTTAAACTTTATTTTATGGGGGTTCCCCTTTCTTTTTTATCTTTGATTTTGGAGCTGCTTTTCATCATTGTTTTATGTTGCAGTATTTCGCCATTAAATGCCCTCCGCCTTTCCATTTACGCTGTAACACGAGTCATTGTGTAAATGTTAAAAGGCGTTTAGGGAAATTAGGTGTATCCATTCTTCAATTAAATAACAGATAAGAGTTTGTCCTGAGGCAAACGGGGTTTAGATTTAAAAGAAAATAGATCCCAAGCAGTGCTTATCCACATTGTGGGCAGTTTAAACCAACAATAGAACTTAATGCAGATGCTAAATGCCCCTCAAACATGCTCCAGTATCTCTGGTTGAACTCTTGCAGCAGAGAGGGAATCCCTCCGTGTTTTAAGGGGTGTGTGAGGGAAGAAGTAGGCCTGCGGAGCCTGCAATAATAACAAGAGGCAAACCGCAGACATTTACGCATGCAGCATTTCCAACCACTGCACATGAGGAGGTGCACGCCTCCTCGTTTTAATACGTGAAGCAGAGAGAAAGCTCCATAAAATGACCTTTAGATCTGTGCAACTCGTAAAAAAAACATTATTGTAGCATGCATTTGCAGGCAGCTTGGAGTAAAACAACGTTATTCCTAAATAGGATTATATGGGTTTATTCAACAATTGGGACCATGCATAAAAATACAATAATCTCAAAAAGAGAAGAGATGTTATATGCCAGATAGTTTAAAGCAGGTACACACAATAAACCAACATTACACATTTCCTAGTATCACACTAACAATAAAAAACATCAAAATACAGATATATAAATACGAATACATTTGTCAGTATAAATATATTTACAATTCATTTAAACTAACCTGTCAAATTACAGAAAAAATAATGTTGGCAAGACTGGTTGCCCAAAATCCACTTTTTTGCACTATGGGAAAAAGGGTTAAAATCGGAGTATAGTCTTGCAGCAAAACTACAATATGAAAGGGAAAGCAAGGAGCAGAGTATTGATACCACAGTGGATAAAATACAATAAAATAATATGAATTCACAGCTATAGGTACCTGGTTGTACACACAGGGATAAAGCTACAACCTTGCCCAAAGGCTATTCACGTTATTGTGCGCAATGCAACTTTTGTGAAGCTTTGAGCTCCTCGCTCAGTCTGCCATGTTTGACGTGATGTTTCCCTGATTAATGGGACTCTGCGGTGTATGGTCCAGGCCAAAGCCCCGGGGTTGATAAGGGGAGCCGGGGCTGGCATGCTGTCTGGCCCCGGCACGGAGCCTACAGGGGCCAACAGGGAGCACAGCCTTACTGCTGCTGGCGTTTCAGGGTTAAATTCCAGTGCGGATTGGAAACCAGTAGACTGTAACTCCTATAGAATAACAAAAGGAGGAAAAAAGAACAAAACACGCCTTAACGCAATTTACTCGAAATACAATAAAATAAAAGGGTTTTCTAAAGAGCTCAATGATATTTGTGGCTGAGTGGAAAACGAAGTTATGGGTAATGCTGACAGACACATGCCGCGTTAAGGTCAGCACTTTGCATTGATCTTTGAGACAATCATATACGGAGACCGATAAATGCTGTCAGGACGTTTTTATGTGTAATCTCTCAACTGTGAAGGATCTGTGCGTCACTCAGCCTTTCATACAAGGTCACTCTCTGGCTCATAATATCTTTGACGTAACATATTAATAAACAAGAGGAGAATTTGTTTAAAAATGTGTGCCTTACTGAAGGCTTTAATGGCTGTTTTTTCTTTCAGTGCTTTTGTGTATTTGTGGTTCTCATGGAGCAGAAGAGCCCTGGAAATCTGCTCCCTGCATGATACAATATGTTGCACAAACTTCTCAAACTTCCTCGCAGGTCAGGGTGAAATCTGCACATTCGCAAGCACACGTTTTGTTTTTCAGCCTGTAAGCTGCTGGCTGACATGCTGTGGATAAATTTGCAACACCAATTTAAAATGAAAAATAAACTCCTATATTTATAAAATCAAGGAAATGTCAAGCTGCTAAATCAGAATGAATTTAATAAATTGTCAAATTATTTCTGAACTTTTTCTTATGATGTAATAGCTGCAGGACAGGTCATACAATGTAGTGCGTAAAACCATGTGCAACACCAAAAGGAGTGTATTCATGTATAAGGGACTTTAACGATACTCAGTCGACTGTTTGATGCTAAAGAAGGGGCGACATTTATTGAAATTAATTTGTATAATTTCAAAAATAAAAGCATACTCTTATAATTAAGTGAAACACCACGCGGAGTGTAAGTGCCGCGGTGTCCACGTGAGTGTGACTGAACAGAGCAGAGCTTCTGTGTGAGGTAAAAAACAAAGTTTCCCCAGGAGAAGAGGCTTTAAACTAATGGTTCCTCTATACGCTGCTGTGCTTTAACGTTAATATATGCACTACATCTGAGAAACCGTGTGATTAAATGGACAATTAAATCTAAAACGTCCCAACTCCCATATTCCTCTCTGCTTGCTATTGGAATGAGCTATAACACTTTCATGCTTTAACAGTGGTGTGACTTTAAAAATAGTCGAATTAAGGACGTTTAATTTATAGAGAGAGGCCATTGAAGACAAACTATCGAGCTTTTTTTAATTCAAAATGTAATTTTTTTTAACAAAATACCCTCCAACTTCTGTATTTACAGCCTGTACATGTTACTTTTAGCATGTTTAGTGTTGACTGGCAATCAATCAATGCGGCTAAACGTGTCAGACCTCCATGCATTCAAAAATAAGTAGAGCAAAGGTCAAGGGCTTATGACATTATAATATTAATATAATTATGCGGTTACTCAAGTCTGGAGACAAAGCAAAGCATGAATAAAATGTACGTTTTAAAAAAATAATCTGGTTGACTCCCGAAGTTTGACTCCCTGCACATTACAATACGTGACATTCCCACACATTCAGTACCATTTCCACTGAAGTCATGTGTTTCATTGCAGCCTCCATCGTCGCCTAACATGAGGAGGAAGCAGCGGGGGAAGCAGCGGAGCCTCTGCTGGAGTTTACCCGGCTTCCCCTGCTCAGACCCGGGGTCAGAGGGAGGGATGGCGGCCTGTGTGGAGAGGAGAGGAAAACTCTGCTGCTGCAACTTCTCCTTCTTAAAATCACACCCAAACAACAAAAGTATATTCAGTACGATATGGTAAGTTTGTCAATGCAATTTAAACAACAACACATGCTTTAACTGTATTTATTAAACGGCAGTACATTTCAGGTGTAGTTTTTTTTCTCGGTTTCTCTTTTCTTTTAACTTTTTTTACTTATTGTTTGTTATTTATTTGCTATGTTTGTGTCACTAAATGGAATGATCTGTCAATCAAACTTTATTATCAAAACAATATGACTCCAAAAATCTGGTAACGCAGCAAAACACCTAATATTATTATAAATGATATGGGTTGTATGATAAAAGCCTATTTCTTCCATTTTTTTATTTTGTATTATTCATACATTTTTACACCCTTCAAATTAAAATGTCTGATCACGTGGTGAGGATATGTTTACTGACGTGATATTTCCCAGCCTGCAATTAAATTCAAAGGATCTAGCGTTAATTACTGACCCCACAGAGCTTAAAACACGTTTATCAGACCCAGGGAGCTGATGTCTGGTGGGGGAGCAGGAGGAGGAGGAGGAGCAGGAGGAGGAGGAAGAGGAAGGGGAAGGGGAAAACCAGCGAGCACCAGAGGGCTTCTGCTCGGTCATGGAGCTCAACTCCATTTGTAAAGGCTTTTCTGTGGGCCGGACAGAGCCAGATGTAGCCTAATGTTGAATGCAACATGCAGGCTGCAGCAACTCACAACATACAATTCAATCAGTGATCAACAAGCCCGTTGCAGGCCGGGCACCGAGGCTCTGAGCCGGGTGGAGGAACCAGAAGCACCGGGAGGAGGAACCAGAAGCACCGGGAGGAGGAACCATGAGCACCGGGTGGAGGAACCAGAAGCACCGGGAGGTTACCCCTCCTCTCATTCAGGCTGCTGTCCTGCATGTTTTCAGTATTAATAGTTTCTGATGTCAAACTATGTGCAACAGGTCTACGCCCTGTCTCCTGTTGGTCCACGTTGGGTTAAAGACACCCATCCGAGCTTTATTCCCTTATGAAATATTCAACAGTTTTAGAGGATCCTTTATAGACCAACATATTTATTACATGAGAAGCTAATTTAGGCTCCATTAGTAGGTGATTTGTGCAAAAAGGTGTTTTATTAAAGATGGAAAAACTGCACTAAAACAAACTTAGGTTTATTTCAAAGTAGAAAAATGTTGTCTTTAGTTAAACACACATCCATAACTCAAACAGCTCCATGCAATTAAACCAAACAAAATGTAACCATGGATGTGGTTTTATATTTCAGTGACCCACATTTGACACAACATTTTTTAAATACATTTTCGTTTTCTTTTTTCTTCTTCAAATACCCTAATCCCATTACATGAATGATTGAACATGTGCATGTATGAGCATGTTTCAACAGCCACCCTTAACCCATTATTATTACCGTCCTAAATTATTTTCACAATGAATTAATTTCATTATTTTCTTTACAACAAGCAGTATAATTTAAATCAAGCTGTCCTTAGGAGCACTATTTAAAAATGCATTTAATAGAAATACAAATACACTCTTTGCCTTTAAACTAAATCCCTTACACACACACACACACACACACACAGACACACACACACACACACACACACACACACACACACACACACACACACACACACATACACATACACATACACACACACACACACACACGGCACCACATCTTCAGATTACAGTTTTTCTTGATTGCTAACACACTAAAATTATACATAAAGCACAATTATTTTTAACTG